CTGTATGCGTTTGAATGTGTTTTGGTGCCGGCTGAGCGTGCACGCGTGCGTGCGCGTGTGTGTGCGTGTGTCTCTTCCAGGTCGACACGTGAAGAGGACAGGTAGGGAGACCCTAAAAGCTTCGTCTTCCACATTCATCAATTACGGCACAGAGGAAGGTTGTGTCTGTCAGGGGGAGCAGATGGTGTGTGCGTCTCGCTTTGTGTGTGTGAGAGTGAGTGAGACAGGGTGAAGGTGTTAGTCAGAAACAGAGAGAGGTGATGACAGAGACAGAGAGAGAAATGTATGAGATAGAGATGTACAGATGTGTGAGGGAGATACGTACAGGTGTGCTACACAGAGAGAAGCCCGGCGTGCTCCGTGATGGCTGCAGGATAACTAATCAATCTATAGCTGCTTCGCAGGACGGGGGAGGAACAGTCAGGCAAGATTAGTGCAGAGAGAGAGAGGGATCATGTCATTTTGGCACACTGCTGCTTCCTTGCTTCTCTTTTAGTCGTCGTCCTCCTCGTATGCCAGCCCATAGACACACATTTCACCGTATTTGGTTGGATTTCTTCAGAAAGGTAAATGCCAGTCACCTTTCATGACTCCTACACCCACAGAGTTTCCAAGTTACTCAAATTACTCGAGCGCTTCACATCCTCTAAAACTTGGCAGCTCACTTAGCTTGTTGAATGAGTGAATGAAGTGCATATTGCAAAAAGGTTTCAATAATTTTCAGCGACGAGCTTTGAAAACACAGACCCAGGAGCCGATTTTCCTTCAGTGAACTTTCAGAACTTTAGAAATCTACTTTTCTCCCAATTGTTGCCCGTGCAAATCTTGCTGCTTCTTTCCATGGGAGTTTTTTTTTTCCCTTCTCCTTCTTTCTCGTTTCTCTCCTGCTCTTAACTGTGTACCAGCGGTTCTAGGAGCTGTCATATTGCATCAGCGCTCTGCTGATTACTTCCACCTTGTCTCCCTCGTCAGGAAATGATTCTGACACGCACTCACACCCAGCTTTCCCTGCATCAATATGCGTGCGATGGAAAAGCTGCAGACAGTAAATAAATAATGAAAGGCAAGGAAGCAGGAGGGGCGGCGGGGGGGAGGTTCTGTATGACATTTTCTTTATCCGTCTCTTTCTCCGTCCGCCGTATGCGTGAGAGAGTCATTGTGGGAAAGAAGCATACGTAATTGCGTGTAAGTATGTGCACTAACAAGTATCTGTATCCTAAAAGTTGGAAACAAATTAAAATTTCGATCTTAAAAAACATTATTTCACTTTTCGAATAATCTAGTAGAACTACACGGACCTGACTAGTTCCACAGCTGAGGTTAGACAGGAACTAAACATGAAATTAGTTCCAGAAAATGCAATGAATTTGTTTTGAGTGAAATATCAAAGCACATTTTTTTATCTATAGTGCAAAGAATCTTTAGAGCCCAGTGTTAATTTTCCCATTCAACATGCTTAATATGATATTGATTTGCATGAAATTAATTAGTTTACTTTCTTGCAAAACATATGCCAGTAGTTCACAAACACGCACACACAATTTATTAAATAAAGTTATTTCAAATGAATTGCAAATTCAGATTTATCTCGATTTATCCGGTGAACTTTTGCACATCATAAAACAACAGAATGGCATTCATTATTTGCTAAACCTTAAAACACACCTGATGTAGTGACGGTTTTTAAAGTGACAGACTTACAGCATAGTGCAAATCTTTAGTGTTGCCGTTGTCTTACCAGAAGTTGGTCACATAGCTAATCCTGCGGCAACAGGATTAGCTATGTGTTATTTCTGGCAACACTGTCAGAAATAAGTTGGATAATAAAAAAAAAAAACAGTACCTAAGAAATTTGTCATTATTTTTAGATTGGTTGCAAATCACTTTTAAAAACCCGTACTGAGGCTAAGAACTATACGGTCCCATACAGCAAACATAAATATAAATATAACAAAACATCACCCAAAACCAGTTTAGTCTTTTTTTTAGAGATTAATAGTTCACAAAAAAAATAAACATTTTGATATTCTCCCCATGAAGGTATTTCTCTATCAGCTTTGCACATTTTTGTATATTTAGAAACATTTACCTTTGATCCATTTGTAAATTTTGATTTTTGTCCATTCTTCTTTACAAAATGTATTTTTAAATTTCGCCACAGATTCTCAGTTGCATTTAGCTTTGGTCTTTGACTGGGACTTTCTAACAGATAAATGCTTTGAACTAAACCATTTGATTCTATTTGTTTAAAGGTTTCACTCAGTTGGAGGGCGTACCTCCTCTCCAGTCTTAGGTATTTACAGTCTCTTGGAGGTTTTCTTCCAGGACTATCACCTTTTTAACTCTGTCCATCATCATATTAACTTTTACTTTCTTCACTCTCCCTGCTGAAGAAATGCATCCCACATGATCCCACCATCATTATGTTTTGTGGTGTCCTGGGTTTAGGGTGATGTATAGTGTTAGGCTTATGCCACACGCAGTTTGCATGAAGACCAAAATGTCAAATTGTGGTTTCATTTGACCGCAGCTCCTTCGTTAACATGCTTTCTATAACCTTATTTCATATTACACTTCTTATGGCTTTCTGTCAACAATGAACTTTTCCTTGCCGCTCCACCATAAAGGTCAGAATTGTGGAATAGTTATCATGGTAACGGCTTCTCCTGCCTACGCTGTGGGTCTCTGCAGGTGCTTTGTTGTAGTTGCTTCTCCCAGAACAGCTTTGGAGTTTAGGTGGATTCTCCTGTCTGTGTAGGTTTGTAGTCTCTGTTTTCACAAAATGGTTTGAGCAGAGCTCCATCATATGTTTAAACCTTATAATATTGTTTTATAATCTAACCATTCTTTTTAAACTTCTCCACAACTTAATCCCTGACCTGTCTACTGTGTTCCTTAGTCTTGATGAGGCTGTTTTGGAACTTGGTTGCACTGGATTTTATTTAGGGGCATCAGAGTAAAGGGGGCTGAATACAAATGCATGCCACAAGTTTTGTATTTGAATTTACAAAAGAGGTTGCATGTATCATTTTTCTTCCATTTAATAGTTTTACACTAACTTGGTCTGTCTTGTAAAATCTCAGTTAAACATTTTAAAGTTTGTGGTTGTAATGTGACAAAATGTGAAAAACTTAAAGGGCTTCCCACATGTTTTTTTTTTTGGAACAGTTGCAACATTGAACTTACCTTCACATTCCAGTTGTAAACTCTGAAATTGCTAATCCAAGAAATCTCGGAAGAATTTACAGGACCTGTGTATTAATTTAGGAAAAACAGCTCAAATATGGTTGAGGATGATGATTAAATGTGCTGTTATTTCACAGAACCATTGTTGAGGTCTGGGGTCTTGTTATGTAGTCTTGCCAGCGTGTCAAGTCGCTCGCATCCTTCTACCCTCTGAATCGCTACCTCTCCACCCTGTCAAACCAAGAAACTGAACATTACCTCTGGGGCCCGAGGACTTACAGAATCCCAGTTTCAGAGCGAGGAGTGGGAGGTGAGGGAAGGATTAGAGAGGAGCTGTCTCTGATGTTATTTAATCTCAGAGGCCAGGGAGCGAGCCAGCCGGAGCACTCCTGATGCACATCATCAGCCTCTGATGACCAGCCAGAAAGATTGGGCGCCTCAGATGCTACATCGCAGCCAAACGCCCCCACTGCAGAGCACCGTCTTCCTGTCCGGCTCTAACCAGTCGGCAGCTCAATTTGGCTGATGGCAAGCGTGCTCAGTCAGGGGAGAAGTCGGTCCCGGATGATTTCCTCCTTCTCTGCTCGCCTCTCCTCGAGGCTGACACCCCTCCCCACCTCAGCCATCGTCCAAATGTGCTTCTGTCCTCCCTTTCCCTCCCACTGCTGCCCCCCCCCGAGCATTATTACACCCCCTCCTCTCCCCTGATACTCAAACACCCAGCCATCACTCAGTTGCTCACGTTATCTCAGGAGCCTGTCTTGCTTCACCCTCCCACCTTACCAGCCACCCTCCTCTCTTTTGCTTCCTGGCATCCCTCCATCCCACCCCACTTCCATCCCCCCCTCCCCCAAGAGCATTCCAGCGTGACAAACCACACGGGATTTCACAAGTCCTTTAAAGTCTGCTGCCTCTGGGAACCGCTCGTCTTCATGCAACATTTTAGTATTCGAGGGAATACGTGACTGGGGAGGTAACCAAAGCTGTTACATTTCTACTGTCTCCTTCAGATTGTTATTGTTGGGGATGCGTTCCAGCCGCATAGAAAGTCTCCATCGGAGGATCTTTGACGATTGTTCTTCTCATCTATTAAATTTGTCTTTATTTCCATCTTGCGTATCAGATATTTTCCGTCCAAATAAATATTTTTTTTCTTTACTGAAGCTCTTCTTTTTTTTATTATTTTAACACATAAAAGCATCACAACAACAATATACAAATTCTTAGTAATCTTTAAAACCAAAAACACATTTACACATGCAACAATAGGGTTTAAGACAATGAGTAACTTATTGAATAACTTTGTTTTTTTTTTGGAATGTTTTAACGCCGCTTTGCAGTAGACCGGACTGCCGTTTTACTCCACTGAGGAAAAGTCCAGAACGTACTTTAGCTTCAGAGCAAAATCTTGTCTACCGTTCAGCATTTAATTCCAGATTTTCCACCGTAGTTTACAGTACTTCTCTGGGATTTCTTCCAGCTTTCATATTAACCTTCGGTGGCCCCCAAACCAAAAAACTGTATCAGAAAGATATAACAACTGGTGTAGTTTTGTGAGAGAAAAAAAAAAAAAGTTGGATTATCTAGGGGAATATGACCTCCCGTCAGCATTTAAGTATCAGGTGCTGATACTAACAATTAGAAGTGCAGCTCACTAATGCAGGACAATGTGCCCTGTTCTGGAGTGTGTCCACACAAGCTCAGTCAGTCCCCATGCCTGCTGCCACCTTCACACTGGTATAAACACACACACACAAAAAACTGCTGGGTTATTTCTTAACTCAATTGTTGAAACAGAAGTTTGAAGGTTTTCCGAAAATCAGAAATCATGACCAAAGTTTCGAGGCTGGTAAAGAGATTAGATATGAGCATATAAGGAGTGTATCAAAAAAAAAAAAAAAAGTCTAGAAACCTCCCAGAGTATAATTTCTAGAACATTATAATTTGCCAAAGAAAGTGCCAGAGTGATCAGGTCTCTTGGCACTGATTGTAGAGTAACACAGTGCTGTTGCTCCCCCGCCTGCTGCTGGGCACTGCTGGTCATTTGGCTACAAGAAGGCTTTTGATTTGCTTGCAAGACAAATTTAGTTGTTTGGAAAGATTTCAGCTAATGAAAAATTAAACTGAACTGGAAATTAAAAGGTCATCACTCATCAGTATTGTAGTAGTGAAATGGATCCCAACAATGTCTTTCTTTTCATTCTTATTTTGTGTAAATACATGTAAACAGTGAGGCAATATCATTGTTAAATTAAGGTTTACAGACCATGACAACCTGATAGCTGTGATAATACTGTTGTCAATGCTTTGTGTTGATTAACACTGGAGATGAAGCTCGCTAACTAAATGTAGCGCTAGCCCTTTAGCTGCTAACGCTACACTTTGGCCAATCAGTTGGTCAAAAAGTAAAATTAAATAGGTAAACTACTTTTATTATTTATCTTGATTTAGCATATTTATTTCATATATAATTCTTTACCGTTTCATTTTTGAGTTTTAAGCAATGATGTACTGAGGAGAAAAGTGTCCCATATATTATTTTACGTACCACACATTTAAGTAAAAAAATGTCAGCAACGAACATTTAGCCTGTTCGTTGCTCAGTAGCTAGCTCAAGCTAATGCTAGCTATTTTCAACACACCCACTTTGTCCAAAGCCCTAGTCATAAAATCAAATGGAGAGGTCATTTTTATACCGTTTATATAAAGTTGTCCAGCAGCAGTCACGCCCCTAGTGGATTAAGCAAGTCTTAAAATAACACTAAAAGTTATTTTTTTTGCTTGTTTTGTTTTTCTGACTATATTTCTTCTGGCTGGAAGCAAAACTAACATTTTGAAATGGCCCAGCCAATCTCCTGATTCGAATCTCATCAAGTACCTGTGGGGGGAGCTAAAGATTAGGGTTATGGTAAAGAGACCTTTCCAAACACTTGGCGCTCATCACCAATGATGTCACTGGTAATGTGCAAAAAGCTCGTCAGCAAGTTTTCCTAATAATTATTGGTATGAAAAAATGTTGACAAATAAAATTTGCCAAATATATATATATTTTTTTTTCTCCAAAAGATTGATACTCCTCATCTGATCATTTTTAATGAAGGATGTATATTCAGGCTATAATTTATAATTTCAACCCTCTCTTTGTTATCGTTAAAACATTTGTCATTTTAACCAATATTCTCAGTTAAAAACCTACTCCGGTGTCTTGACACTGGAGTCACCCTGTTTTGTTAAATCAACCAAAGTTTAGATCAGCGCGTGTTTAACCCAAGACTGTGTCAGCAAAATAACCTGAATTTAGTGGTGGTGTTTTTTTTCTTTCTTTTTTTTTTTTTTAACCCAGCAGTTTTTAGAGTGTAAACAGAGCTAAAAGACAATCCTAGAATATGACTCAGTTTGGGGAATAAATGTTACTGAAATGTGAGTATGAGGAATGATCAACAGGATCAGTTATTGCTCCAGAGTGACAGGTGTTTGTTTGATAATTGATTCTTGTGGCCTCTTCGTTTTGTCAGATTCAGTGTGTTTGTATGATTGTCTGTTTGAGTTCTTTACACAGGGCTGGCTGTAAAACCTACAGCCATGACACTGAAAACACATTCATAGACACCAAAAATATACATAATGATACTGTCAAAAGGTACAATAATTACACAGGGAAAAAGAAAAAAGGAAATTACAGAGTTAAAACAACACCATTATGTTTTCGTTTATCCTTGTGTCTGTCCACTTTGTCTCCTTGCGTCCTCTTCAAAAATGTTTGGGCGGCGCTACGTGCTGTGTGTCCATGAAATTCTCCCAGCAGACAGTCAAGAGTCCTGCCTGTCTTCCTGCTGCTGGGTGGAGGTCCACTTCTCACGTTTCTAAAAGAACCACCGAAAAGCTTCCCCGTTGTTTACCGGCGTCCTCTGTGAGAGACAAAATGTGAAAGAGGAGGTTTTAATTTGTGGGCTCTGAGGTCAAAGTGAAGGTCAAAACAAAAGAAGGAAAACCTTCAGAAATTTCAAACGCACTTAAAAGCAGAGTTTTTATTATTATTATTATTATTATTATTATTATTTATTAATTCAACAATTAGAAACGGTCTGAGTAAAGTAAAAACCCTGAAGGCACTTGAAGCCCAACCACCAAGTGTTTCATCAGAGAGCCAGCCAAGGTGATTACATGCACGTCCCACCCACACCCAAATAATCATTACGCTGGATGAAACATTCGATACAAATTCCCATGGAGCAACAATGAGGCATTTAATTACTGTGAGCTGGAGCCGCAGTGAGGGGGAACAGAGCATCATTTCAATTTGAGCCCGCACCAGCAGTTGCCCCACCTCCTTCTCTCTAAAAACCTCCGAGCCGCGTGTCCTGAAACTCATTTAGAAGTCAGAGACGTGAAATACCAGAGTCTCCTACCAATCCCCGTGACCAATTAGCATATTTTTTGTATGTGCTAGAGTGTGTGAGGGAAGAGGGTTAACAGAGGGGAAATGGTGCATAATCACAACTAAAATCATTTTAGCTGGAGGAAGGGGCAATTTGACATTTTAATACCAAGTGTCATCGGTGGCTCCTTAAAGGCTGATGACGGCTGTAGCATTATCCTTGAGTTCACAGGCTGTTGACCAAGCATACTTGCTAACCTCATTTGTTTTCTGCTTGGTATTTAGGGTTTGATGAGACTGCTCTTTAGTGTAATCAGTGCAGTTTGGGCTGTGCTGTACGTGTGGCTGCGAATTAAAAGGTACTTAAAGTTCTTAAGTTACTACTACACACAAAAAAATAAATAAATAAAGTTGTGATGTTGGAAAATTTGGTTTACGTGAATCTTACACGTTTTATTTCTGATTATTGTCAAAGGTCAGCTTCTAAAATACATCTGGTTATGTGTGTTAAAATGTATCAAAGAAAGTGTTTTATTTGTGACGCAAACTTGCAAGTTTTAGATTAATTTTCGATTCATTTTGAGCGATGCCAGTCGTTGTACAAAACAGCTAAATTAGACGCAATTTTATTAATTAACATTCAGTCATTTTTTTCCCCCCCACTAAATAAATATACCCAAATTGCAATCTGCATTTGCCTTAAATCTTATGGAGTGAGAAGCTACTGCAACAGAAGATTACTTATTTCTGCGGTTGGCACTGCAACCATGCAACTAAATCCCAAAATGAATTTACCCGAGCCACAGCAAAAAAGTAATGTCTGCAAACATCTCCTCTGATTACGATACCTCCGACGAAGCATTGCAAATCATCCTGGGTAACACATCCCACTACTTGTGAAAGAGTTGAGACTGGATCACTGCGGATGTGTCAGTTTGCTTTAAAAAGCAGTTTTTCCAAGACACAATTTTACAACTGTCTGTTCATACGGACAACAAAAGCTCATCACACATTTCGGGTGCGTACGTTCTGTAAAAGTCACTTATCATATATTCACAACATTTACACCAATTACTATTATCCTTCCAAGTGAGAAACAGAGGAGCCCAGAGCAGCAGGGGCCCATCGTCACCAATTTAAACCCATGAGAGAAATGAAACACCATCTTATTTGAAGCAGTCAAGATCTTCTCACACATCTAATGTCGACATTTTTTACTCTTCTTTTTTATTTATTTATTTTTTTTACCTAATAGCAATGAGCTGATTATTGCTGCATGTCACCGTGACTCTACGAATTTACATCTGTCACTTTCTATGCAGTTTAATAAATTACTATGTGAATTTTGCTTGTATTCTACAGAGCCAGAAAAACAGAAAGGATGTCTCAGTGACATGAATAAAAGGAACTGTCTAGACATATTTTTTTTTGAAATCTTCTAAAGTATGAAGAAAGAAAAAATGTTTTATGGATAGAGTTTCTTCTGTACAGAGATGCGGTTGCATTGTTACTCAAGTTTAATATATGCTGTAGTGGCTTTAACATTTGTTTAGTAAGGAGGCAACAAGATCATGTGACACAAAATGTCAAGATATTGAAACATTTCTCGGCAAAGGAAACTCCGTCTCCAGAACCGCTCTGAACTTGCTGACAATGAGTGATTTTATGTATTTAAGGGAGTCCAAACTATTATTAAGATGCTACTATATAAAAAACAAGTTATTTGAGCTGGACAGTGTACTGACTCTTGTACTGAAGAAAGAAAGGAAGTAGTTGAGTTCTTGCTCTGTGGAGTTGAAGGACCGATCCAAGACTGCTCTTTTGACAACACTGGCTAGCTAACAACAGCCAGTTACACTGAAGAAACTTTTATGACTTTTTAAGCAGTTGTGGGGCAACAGTTTCAGTAGTCTGTTGAAAAAACTGTGGTTTCCCAAAGAGACATCGCTATGTCTTCCTTATTTATCTTTTTCGTCTTTATTTCATAACATGTTATAATGTAGGATTGACTGTTTTATTTCAGATCAGCCTTCAACACCAACAACCCAAACGTCCTCCACCAGAAGCTCACCCAGTTCACAGTGCCTGTCAGTGGATCACCAGCTTCCTGACTGACCAGCAGCAACAGGTGAAAAGCATCTTCTCCCAAACAAGATCCAATAACACTGGGACCCCCAGCAGAGTTTCCTCTAGCCTCTCCTGTTGTCTATTTACATAAATTACTCAGGATGTAACTCTTGAAATTTGCAGATGACAACACTGTTACTGGTCCTCTCCAGGACAGTGATGGTTAACTGGTGCCGTCAGAACCACCCAGAGCTTAACCCACTAAAGACCGTGGAGATGACGGTGGACTTCCTCCCCTCACCATTCTCAACACTACTACTGTTGATCGTTTCCACTGCATAGGAACCACCCTTTCTTGGGAGTTGAGCCCTCAAACTTAGACACTCTTTTCTATGTGAATAGACAACTCAAGATATACAACCTTCCCCAGGAGCTAATGGTCATCTTCTACACTCCCATTGTTCAGTCTGTCCTGTGTTCGTCCTTCACTGTGTGGCTCATCCTAACTGCAACAAACATCAGGTCTGTGGAGAGGATCACAAAGGCTCACATTCCCTCCATCCAGGACTAAGGGTCTAGGGTCAGGACAAGGGCAGCTAACATCTTTGCAGACCCTACACATCCTGGACACAAAGTAACATTTTACTTCGGGTTTGTGCTCCCAAGCCCTTTTTGCTAACCCCCCCCCCCCAAGAAAAACAGCCGCCACAGAGACAGTTTCTCTGATAAACAGTAAACGGTAAAAACATTCCAAACACTAAAACTTAAATATCTTAGAATATGAAACATTTTCAACCAAAACCTTACATTATGAACAGAACTTTGCACTTTCTCTAAAAACAAACACTGACATATTGAGAAAGTTCTGGACAATTTGTTCCATACATCCGTAACAGTGGCGGGTGTGAACACAACATGAGTGGTAAGCTGCTAACAACGCTGAAGTTAGCTTCACTTTAGAGCTAAATTTTGGGTTGATAATAATGTCTTTACATTTTATGTAGAATGGTAGACAATACAAACAATTTGGGAGTATTTTAAAAGTACCGTACCTGGCTAACTGTTAGCTGCTAGCAATGCTGAAGTTACTGTTTTAGATTCCTATTGGAGCTACACTAAAGGGCTATTTCTCAGTGTTTGATTGCATCTGGAGAGTACATTTATCATCTTTAGGTTATAATGCCAAAAGAAGAAAAAAAAAATCTAAACTGGATAATTCTACACTTATAGGTTCAGTAAAATACAACTTGTAGACCTAATTAGTAAAATTAATGAAAAAAGGGGGATTCTTTTTCTTTTTTTCCAAAAATATTGCTAAAATCTTGTTTTATCCTCATGGACCCTACATTGTGTATTGTATTATATCATGAACAGGATGTATTGTTACACTCGTAGGGCTAACTGTTATTTTCTTGTAATTAACTTATACAAGCTTGAATTTAAGTAATTTGTTTTCTGTTTCATAACTGCAAAATAATCACATCTGAATCAAAAACTAACTTACATTCTTAGACTATGTCACATAAAGAACAAAACATAACACAGTCCTTTGCATGGGAAAAATAACTAAGACAGGTTTAGCCTGTTGAACATCTTACCAACCTCCCATGACCTCTTTAGACTTTAATAAATCAGTAAGGCTCTACCAGAACACCAGACAGCTGATATGCAAGCTGAATATTCTGTCTCCCTGTCTGCCTGGGCATATAGAATATTTTATCTTGCACTGGTAAAACAATGGGAAATGTGTGAATATCAAATTATTAGGCTAATATAAAAAACTAATTTGCTGACACACTTCTTAAATTTAAAACTAGATATGCTCTGTAATTTGTAAAAAAAAAAATAAAAATAAAAAATAGTCCATCTGTACTGTAATGTCTCCTATCAAGGTTACTCTGAAGAGAGCAAACCTGACTAGTGCGAAGGATGCGCATCTGCACCGTCTATGGTGGATCTGCAGGGGCACCTTAAAGGCTTAAGCCCATTTCTGTCAGCATTGTAATGCCTGGGGAGCTGAAGCAAAGCAGAGAGTGAGGCGAGCTGAGAATGTTTATCTTGATCCATATTCTCACATTGATCAATCCCTGGTGGAAGTGCGGCTCACCAGAGACAATAATGACCCTGATCCGGGCACTCGGCATGTCTCTGTTTTGTTAAGTTCCCCGCGTTATCGATCCAGTGGGGCTCTTGAGTGCTGCTTGGATTCACTCCCAGGCCATCTCTCCTCGGCACACAGCAGTGACCAGGCACAAAGAAGGCTCAATTAGCACCGGCTCTGCGTTGTCTGCTCCCCCACCTTCAAAATCACTCCATCAACTGGTAGAAAGGGAGGAAGGAAAAGGGGGGCCGGTGGGAGGAGGGGTGGGGTGTGAAAAGACGGGATAGGAAAGCTAGAGAAAGAGAGAGAAATTGAACGCTTGAGGAGAAGGGAAGCGCTGACCGTGTTACCTGGGACAAGGGAGCAATGCCAAGGTTTTACGTCAAATCAAGACTCCGAAGCGGCGGCTGCGCCTTATGTTAATGACGCCTCCTCTGCAGGAAAGCATACAGAACAACCCGGCAGCAACGACACACAAGAGGAACACAAGTGACAATTTCCTGCACAGGCTGTAAATGCACACAAGGAAAAGTGGCAAACTGACTCCAGGAGACGGAGGAATTTCACTAGACCTCGAATTAACCCCACCACATCGCCACAGTAGGCAGGGTATCCTAAAGTGTCTGCCGGTAGCTCTGGGTGATAACAGCACAGTAAAACTGACATGTGGTGGAATAATTCTCCGCTGATTCTGGTGAGGCAGTGTGAGGTCTCTGGGCTGCCAAGACGCCCTGTGATCCTAACCGAACCTGGCATGTGCCGTTAATGTTGCAGACATGTTGTCAGCTGATTTGGGCAAGGTGGCGGAGAGACATTATTGGCTCGTACGGGAGGGTGAATCATAAGCAAAGTCAAAAAAAAAAAAAAACACTAAAATGGTGCTCGTATGTGCTGGGGACGTAAGCCTTCAAACGCAATCTGAAGGATCCAACCTTTGAGTCAGGTCCAAAGCGTTTTCTATCCACACAAACAATAAAAATGCATGAAATGTCCTCAACCTCCCAGCCCACCGAAAGCCCCGCTCCTCTTATCCCCTGCAGCCTTGGCGTCACTCTGCGCCGGGGCCAGAGATAAACCACTCAAGACGATGAGGATGATAATGGCAGACGCCGCAGCGCCTCAAAATTCAATCAGCGCCTGGACGTCAATGCGGATGAGTGTAAAAGTGAAATATGTTCGCCAGCGTGTGTTAAAAGATGCCACACAGGGCTCAGAGAAACAACAGCGAGAGATGTGGAGGGCCATGAGGGAAAAAAGAAAGAAAAGGAGTGGGAGAAAGAGAGGGGGAGCGAGAGAAAAATGAATATAATGTGTTTCAACCGCTCAGCTTCCCAGCACAATCCCACTGGCATTTTGAGCAGCGCTACTTTAACCACAGACTGTGAATAAATTACCCTTTTGAACTCAGGGTGATTGCAAATGTGCCCCGGTTTCTCTTGAGACATGTCTGGCACTAACCCTCAGCCAGCCTTGTCACAAAGGCCCCTTCACTGCCTCCTCCCCCCCCCTCCCATCTACAGTACTTACAGGGCATACACACAGGCAGGCATAACATCATAAAACTTTTAATTTCCTGCCTGTAATTGCTGATGAATTTTCTATTTCTTTCCTAGCTACAAAAGCTGCATTTCCACAGCGAGAAGCTTTTCCAGGATCCAGGGTAAAATTCTGGGACCATTTTACCCTTTTGTTTTGAGAGCAGGAGCCTTTGTGGAAATAGGCTGTGCTTTTCTTTATCCCTAAAAAAAAAAGTACAAATCCAAACATCATTTTCTTGATACTTGATGTTGCACATTAGCCACCAAAAAACTTTTTTATTTGTATTAATTAGAATGGTAGCCATGGGAGACTCGAGGGTTTGTCAATCAAATCACTGGTCAAAGCAATGATTTGTGTCTGATGGAAAACGACATCATAACAACATAAAGCTCAAAAAAGTCAATTTTACATAATTTATTTCCTCTCCCCAACACGCAGTGGGTAAACATTTCAACAACATTTAGAGAGGCAGCATTTAGCTTTTTAGCTGCAACTACAATGAAATAAAAATGTATTGGTCTGAAAGTAGAAGTAATTTATGTGATCGGCCGACAGTTGGATCATACAGTGGAAATGCCCATAACTGATGAACAGGGTACAATAAAAGGTTACAAGAAGTTCCGACATAATTCACTTTTCTCCATTTAGCTTTTTGTTTCAAGGTGCTACGCTTTATGAAGGAGTTATAAAGTTCTAGTTCCAAACGGTTAACATTTCTCTCATGAACTTTCCTGTGGTTTAAAGACCTTTTAGGAATTTTATGCCGATATTCAAAGCAAAGATAAATGCAGTGCCGCCCCGAACCACTACTGTTGCTGTTGCCAGCTGACTGGAGAAAAAAGACACTTTAAAATATTTGTAACAGAGCACAGAACGTATAAGGTTTGTAGTGGCTCATGTGTGAAGCGGCTGCCTGCAGGCTGGTTTGCTGGAACAGGTAGTCCAACGAAATTACCATCCAACAGCAGCTTGTTATTCTGGTGTGACTCTAGCAACAGTTAGAAAGGCAAAAACCTGGAGATTTCTGCGCAATAAATATATTGGTATAGTTGTAGTAATCGATATATCATTTAAGCAGCAGCAGAAGTAAGTTTGAAGTTGAAACGTTGTGTGTGAAAAAATGTTTGCGTAAATACCAAGACAGTGCAATACTTCTACTCTGAAGATTTCTTGAAAATGCCTACGCTGTAATAATTTGTGAAAAATCTAAATAAAGGTGGAAGATAATACAGAGATTTGGGAGCCGCAGAAGGGAGGAAAGGAATTTCAGTGAGTAACATTAAGCAGGTTGAATAGCAGCCAGCGGGAGTGAGCCAATGTGTTCCCAAATGCTCATTATAACTCATGGCCCATACATTACTGTGACAATGTCCATTATTTATTAGACTCCACACTGGGAAAGAGCCCAGTTTTTATGACCACAGTCGCCTGACAGGCTGCAACCAAAATAAAAATAATCACCACTGTCACACACACACACACGCAGACGCGCACAGATTGTTCGACACTTCTTAGTCATTGGCACTGAAAGTTCAGACTGCAATCATTCCAGAGTGGTCAAATGACACCATGCTTTTATTGATTTCAACTTGTTTTTAGAGCAGAAAACTGGGAAGAGACAAGAATTAATTTGTTTCATCAGTCAGTCAGTGGTGGGGGTGTGTGTGTGTGGGGGGGGGGGCACTGTGATAGCAAGCCAATCATTCACGACCGACCTCCAGCGCCGATCGAGCTGTGGTGGTGCAGTCACCCTTAACTGATGTGTTTTACATATCCTGTCACTTTATTCTGCAAAAATATTGGGGCGTTGCCGAGCTCAAACGTGGAAGGTATCGCAATCCATCACCTGGGGAGCTCACCGGCGCCGGTGGGAGGGGGGTGGTTGAAATCTCATCTGGAGCCTTGTCACTGGGGTCCCAGCCACCCGAGGGCCGTTTATGAGAGGCGCTTCTCCAAGGCCGCCGTCGCGGCGGGACTCATCCAGGCATTCACATGACGGCAGCCAAAACGCAGCACCACACCGAAGCACTGACGGACTCAGGCCTTTGACAAACAGTTTAAAGGAAGCTACCCAGTAAGGGAAGCAGTTTCAATTGGCCCAAAAAATTTTGCTAAAAATCACTTAATCACCTCCACAAAAAAAAAAATTGTACATTTGTAAGTTGATTGTATTAACATGAAAATATTTTTTTTTTCAGTTGTTACCCGCAAAAGAGGAGACATTTTTTTTATCAGTTAAATAATTTTTACTTGTTTTTAATTTATAAAACTTGAAGATTTTTTTTTTTTTTTTTTCAGAACATTTTCAATTTGTTTTTGCTGTACAGTCTACATCAGCAACAACCTGACAAATTTTTAGAGCGTAATAGCTTAGCTTGGAAATCACCTAAATCTACAGCAATTCTAAATGACAGGACACTATCAAAAATCTAAACTAAAAACTGTATTGTATTAGCTAATCATGGGATGATAAGACAATTTTTATGATACACATTGAGAAAAAATAACACACCTTCATGCCATTTAGTAGGAATCTGACAGAGCATCCGACTTGATAAACGGCATGATAGACGATATTTGTCTGACAATACAATTAAGATTTTTATGCTTCTCTAATTTGATTTCATTTATAAGAAATAATATTTAAGGAGTCTGTTTGAGTGTAGAATTACCACACATGTTCTGCTTTCTCGCTAATGCCTCCTTCCTGTCCGTCTGTTCTTTTCCCTCCAACAAGAGGTCAAATCTTTCTGGTTTTACAGTGACTGAAAAGCCACAAAGCCAAATTCATTGCATCCCCATGTTTGTTATTTAATGCTATGCTTTTTATTATCCCTCAGCATGTTGGGGTTTAAACGAGGGAGGATCAAATGCAGCTCAAGCCCAACAAATTCTGTGAAATGGCCTTTTAGTGTAGAATCAATGCGAACACATGCGAAGCAAATGCTAACTATAGCATCGTCGCTGGACAGCAGTGCTTCAGTAACAAGTGTTATCTGCCGAGCATTGTGAGCAAACTGTCAGCACCGAAGAGTAAAGCAGGAACTACTATGATTTCCAGCTGCAAGTTTTAAAGATATACACCCCTTCATATCTGAGGCTCCAGCTAATCATTCACACTTATTTAAAATATTACACCTCAGCAAGGTCTCATCACACCCCTCACATTAATATAAAAAAAATAATTAAAAGATGGATAACGTCGTCTAATTTCTTTTGTTTCAGACAAAAAAAAAAAATCTATTATTACTGGTATAATAATGTTTTCATTTCGTTCATCATTTATTTGTTATTCTGATTCTCATACACAGGCCAAAACAGAAATGCATAATCGACACTCACCAAAGTTAGCAGTGGTTTTCAAGTGCTAGATGCGCTCCTCTCATTGTAGAGTAAAACGAGGTTAACAGCCCACTATGAGGTCTGAATTAGTTAGGGTATCATCTCTGGTTACCAGCCTGCAGCCCCTTGCTCAGGCATGCTTCCCTTAGGCTACGAGCAACAGCTGCAGGAGCGGCAACAACACAATACTCTTGGATAAAATACAGTGGAAAAACCTTTAAACCTCCCATTATTTCAGCATGTTTTGGTTCCAAGGAGCCAGACTGTCTTGTAATCTTCTAAGGTGGTCATGACACAAAACTGTCGAGGCTTCCTTTTAATTCCTTTGATCACTTATGAAAAATCGACCAAAGTCCAAATAAAAACAACCTATTTGGACTTTGGCTGATTTTTCACTTTTTTTTTTTTCTCCTATCTGACCATCACATGATCTTTGCGATTAGTACTTGAAGAGGAAGTGGCCAAGTGCAGAAGGAGCTATAATAATCTAACTACCACAGATTAAAAGTATCTGAAAAAGTATCTGAAAGTCAGGACCTTAAAAATATTTGTACAGGAAGCAGCAATATTAACTATTTACAGTTTGCCATGTTTTCATCTAAGGGCTTTTCAGGATACTTTTAGTTGGAACTAAGATGCTGTTTTATGTCTGCCGTCTGTTGTCTTCTGAGTTTTTCATAGAATAAATGCAGAGAGGGAAGAAATTATCCCTCTGTGACAAGTAATGTTTATAATAAGGAAGTGCCTAAAGACAGGTTCTTTGCTAAGTCGTCCGTTGCGCAGACACAACACAGGTTTGTTCCGTTTTCCCCTTTGGTCCGTCAGCAATAAGTGGCTCAATTCCACTGAAAAAGCTCAAGAACTGCTGAGAAATATTTCAAAGCAGCCCGACTCCTTGGAAACAAACATTGCCTTTATTCTCATCCCATCCCAAGCGAGCACGGTCAACGTGTAGATGCCCGCTGATAAGAGGTCCATAAGTG